CATAATGAGAAGAATTTGTTCAACCTTTTGCTTGAATTCATCATTTGATGGATCAACATTGCCAGGTAGAGTTCATAATGAGAAGAACTCTTCATCTGAAGAAGAAAGAAGAAGTTCATAATAAGAAGAACTTGTTCAACTTTTTGCATAATTCTATCACAGAAAGGAGATAGATTAGCATCAGCCTTTCTAGAAAAAGTTCATAATGAGAAGAATTTGTTCAACCTTTTGCTTGAATTCATCATTTGATGGATCAACATTGCCAGGTAGAGTTCATAATGAGAAGAACTCATCAAGAGCTTATTCAACCTTTTGAATGACTCTATCACAGAAAAAAGGAGGTCATCATCATCCCCAGCAGAAAGTTCATAATGAGAGGAACTCATCTGGAGAGAGAGAAGAATTTATTCAATATCTCCATTATGATCCAAGTTAAGTCAAATGAAAAACTTATTATCTTTTCGTCTTTGCTCTATTCTTGTTAACACAAGAATGAGCAAAGAGGGGCAGCTGAAGATACTCATTTTTTCATTTAAATATTATTATTATTATTATTATTATTATTATTATTATTATTATTATTATTATAATTATTATTATTATAATTATAATTACTAATTTTATTATTTATTACTAATATTATTATTAATTATTATTACAAACGGGCCAAATCCGGCCCAACCCAAAAGCCCAAATATATAACCCTAAACCCATTTAGGGTTTGTATCTAGCTCCCAGCCGCCGCTTCCAGAAGGCTCAAGCTGCCTCTCCAGCTTCCAGACGCTGCTGCCGACGCCTCCACTGCCAGATGGTCCAACCAGTCGCTGCCGACGCTGCTTTTGCCACGCCACCTCACCGCCGTAAATTCCAGAACACCAGATGGCAGCCCAAATCGAGCTCCATGGTGAGTCACCAGCATAGCTATGGTGACTCACCTAGACATCCCTCTCGGGACCGGTCCAAACAGAACCTCGTGGTGGCTATAAAAGCCATCATACCTGCGAAAGAACAGACAGCCACGGAGAGACACGGCAGAGAACGACAACAAAAAAAAAAGAAAAAAGAAAAGAAAAAAAGAAAAAAATAATAACAACCCTCAGCAGCAAACAAAACAGAAAGAAAGAAAAGAGAAAGAACTTACCGAGGAAACCACAAGGTAACCGGAGACGCTACGTACCGAGGAAACATTCGAAATACCCGAAGGTATTTCTCTAGATCTGCTCCGATCCAGAGCTTTTTAGGGCAAACCAAGGCCAGATTCGGCCTTGGGAGGTTCGGGTCTTTATTTTAGGTCTTTAGGAAAAATCCGGCCACCGTGTGTGGTAGCCGGCGGTGGAGACCAACACCGGAGTACGGTGTCCGGCGACGGCCGGAAACTCTCTCGGTTAGAGAGAGGCGAGAGTTTTATAAACTCTCTCGGTTAGAGAGAGACGAAGAAGAGAGAATGAGGGATGCTGGCCCTACGGGCCAGCCATTTGATCATATATACCCCTCCCAAACGACGCCGTTTTGGGCAGGGGTATATCTGTAATTTCGCACACGGGTCAAACCTCTCGCGTAGTCATCCTAGATTTGTAAATTTCTATTTTTGTCACTAAAATCAATTCTTATATGTTTTAATTAAGTCTCGTAATTTTATTTTATTTCATTTTAGTCCTAGCCTGTATGTTTAAATATTTAGGATAAATAATATATTCAGTCCCTTAATTTTAATAAATAATATTTTAATACTGAGTTTATATTTTTAATTTATTTTAATCTAATATTCGAATTTTAAATAAGTTTATTTTAGTCACTAAATAAATAAAATAAAGAAATAGCATGTTTAATCCCTAATATTTTGATTAATTATGAATTAGATTTTTTAATTTTACTTTTACTATATTTAGTCACTAATTCTAATGTTTTCATCTATTTTATTATTTTTAAATATATCATTTTAATTGTATTTTTATTGTTTTATTTGTCTATATATTTAAATACTTTTATTATTATATAGTTATAAATATATATATAATTATTTATATATTTTAATAAATTATTTTGATATTTTTTTTAAATATCGAAGAAAGGACAGTCTCAATACAACTGGATGTCCTATTCTGGTATTTTAAATTAAACAATAGTATTTAAATTAATATTTATCAATATCAAAGGAAAGAGCTATCTTAAGTTCTTTTCTGATGTTTTTAAATAAATAAATATTATTTATATAATTTTGAAATAATAGGATTATAAATTAAATATATTTTTGAATTTTTAAAATTTTAATACTAGAGACAATTTATAATTAAAAAGTACCAATTTTGGGCGTTGTAGGGGTGCTAATCATTCCCTAAACGTAACCGACCACGAATCCCTTTTTATTATTAAAAAGAAAAAAAAAAGAACGAATTTTTGGTTATAAACGCAGATCAGCTCATTTTTTAATTGGTGTTTTCTTAAAACTCTTTTAAAAGATAATTTTTAGGTATTCGACCTACCTAACCCAAAAGGACGATGGCGACTCCCAAATTATTTTCAAAACCATTTATTCACATCAATTTCCCCGCTAAATAAATATTTCGTGCCCGGACGAAAAACGGTTACGACAACATGGAATCGAAATATATTATGCATCTCCTTCATCTTTTCATCATTGAAATTCGGATAAAAACGCTCCAGCATTAGAAAATCAAAAGAATCTAAAATCATGATTTTTTTCAAAAATAAAATAAAGTTTTTAGCATGTTCAGAATTTTTAGAAGATAGTTGTCCCAACATAATCTTGTTAAGTATTTAACGGTGGAGTGACAAAAAACAAAACAAATAAAAATGTAATGATATTTTTTAAATTTAATGACCAAAATAAAAATACAATCAAAGTTAGGTGAATAAATTTAGAATTTACCCTTTAGAATTTGGAGAACACCATTTAATTTTTTATATTAATATATATTATAAATACTTAGGAAAATGATTTCTTATACTTCATAATACATTTTTTGTATACCCAGTGATGGATCTAAAGGAGCAAGTGGGTTGTTTTCCCTATAAATTTTAAATTCTTACATATTTTAGTTTTTTTGTGTGTTTTCTATTAAAATTTTATTTTCATCAACCTACAATTTTATAAATTCATCCGTTTAATATAAAATATTGTGTTCATTCTTATATATACAAGGATAGATAGAAGGGGATGGGTGGGGGACGACTACCCCTCTTAAATTTTTAAAAATTCGTATTCTTAACATAAAATTATACATCCGTTCCTGGATGTATAGATATAAGTGTTATTGTAGATGAAGAAAAGGTTAAAAATCCTAATCAAATTATAAGCTTTGGAATCTTTTTCCTAATTTTATTTGCGCATAGTCAAAACCTAATCACTTTAGTTAAAACCACCCTCAAAGTTGACACGCCCTTTTTAGCCTATATAAATTCGGCTTTAATTAAATTTAGTTTATACGTAATAATTTTAGATACGAATATAACATTCATATATAATTATATTTTTTATTGTTCAAATAAAAATAATAATTTAATGGTTAAATTGACCCAAAATTTGAATTTGAATATTAAATATTTTATATTTTGTAAAAAAGGTGTATATTTATTTTCATTTGAAGTGAGCCCAATATATGTTTTCCTGGGTCAAATTTTGATATATTTTTTAGTATTCATATCTAATTTGCTCTAAAAAGATTAAATATGCATTTAAAAATATTAATGTGGTATATTAACTCGTTAATTAATTGAAAATTCATTAATCCCAATCAATTATCATATATCTAATAATTAGTTTAATACAACTTAATTTTAAAAATAGTTTTATTATTAATTAAATATATTCTGGAAATGGAAACCCTAGCATTAGCTGGGCATTAAGCTAGTGTTAGGTAAAACTACTACAATTTAGTGGTACTTAACTGTATTTTCCCACCAGTTAATGCTGTAAATATCAAATATTGAAGCACATAAATGTTGTTAAAACCTACTTTAAGCCAATGAACGCTTCATGATGATATTTAAGTTAATTAATATAATATTTACACCATCAATTATAACTATATAATAATTTTTAAAAGGTGTCTTTACTAAACACATTCATAGATTTAGTCAACGATTGTTTTAGTAATATTATTTAAAGATATTAAATATTATAATATGTTCATTCATTACATTAAAAAATATCAAATAAAATTTATTGATATCTTGAAGTCGATTAGAATCCTAAAAAAAAAATTAAATAGTATGTTTTTGGATTGTTTGTGTGCATCGAAGTCCTAAAATCGCACAAACCAAGCGACTTCAGTAGTTAATGAATTGTTATTATTTCTTAATGTATCAAGTTCGAACACCATGTATGTCATGGTATATGAGTATTCAAGTCAAATAGTTTTAAGTGAAAAAAATAAATAATTATTATTTTATTTTTATATAATATATTTGAAAGACTTTGATAACATTTCTTTGTTATAGTCTTACTTTGTGATCTATATATTTTCGTTTAAATAAATTTACACACACCTAAAAAACAGTGTTAAAGAGTAGAATGTAATTAATTTATGATTTCCCGTCTTCTTTATTTGCTAATTAATTTTAAAAAGTGTCACATTTTTAGGTATCATCTATATTTTTTTTCCCCGAGAAGGTTTCACATCATCTCTAATTTACCTTCAAGACTCCTACCCCTCCCCACACACTCACCACACATTGAATGCATGTACATGAAAATATATATTTTCTTTCAAAAATACATATTTACGTATATAATTAGGATATCACATCCGAATATTTTAAATTATTATATTTTTTAAATTTTCTATTAATAATCTTTTTTTACCTCAAAACTTTTATAAGATTATTTCCTCTTAAAATTTTAAAAAGTTGTCTCTTAACATAAAATCCTATATGCTTATATATGATGCATGCATATATGTATAAATGTTGTAAAAAATGGGGAGACAAATACGATATATAAGAAGGCGAGGATAGTGTGAGAAGAATAGTGGGTGAAAATGTCGAGTATATGTGAGTCGATTTTAAGGGTTTTGGCACTGCTGCTAACGCTTGCGGCAGCCATTGTGATTGGGGTAAATAAGCAGACCGAGTTCCTCCCTGTTCAGTTTACCCCAGCCTTTCCTGTTGTCGACGTTGCTTTCAAAGCTAAGTGGTATTACTTGTCTGCCTTGGTGTAAGACTCTTTTCTCCGTTACTACAAGTTGAGTTGCTTAAACATTATTCAAGGTTCCAACATGTTATTGTGAAAAGTAAGAGAATTCAATATCGTATTAATTTTAACACGACTTTTAAATTTATAAATTATGAAGAGTACAAATAATAATGTTTGATTTTTTTATTCAACCCTGAATACACCTTCTTATTATTAGGGACAAAAATAAATTGAGTTTGATCGAATAAAGTTGTGCTTGCGTTTGTTTGTCTTTTAAGGTGTTCATGTTCATTCTTGTTCGTTTACATTTTTAATAACATGTTCTTGTTAGTTTGTTTAATTTTAAAAGCGTTTGTGTTCAGTTTTTAGCATTACTAACATGTTTGTTTAACATTCGCAAACATATTCAATTAGCATTCGTCAACATGTTCGTTTAAGGTTCATGAATATGTTGGTGAAATTATGCAATTTCTCCTTAAACTCATTAGGCTTCATAGTTTAAACTCTAAAGTTCACCCTGGAATTTAAGCCCTATTTTCATCAATATTCAAAATATAAAAAATAAAGACATAATGCTAAAATTAGCATCCCAACATTTACAAAATAATTATTTTGACATTTATTCTTTTATTGGGAGCGTTTTGGCCCTCAATGTGTCTCATTTTAAGGCAAAAAAACCCCCTAACGTTTGACGAATGGCCATTTGACCCATATTCTTTTATTCTAGAGTATTTTGCCCCTCAAATGTTTTATTTTAGGGTAAAACCCCTATTTTGGAGAATTAACCATTTGTTAACTAATGTTTTCCATCCATGGAGGGGCCTTTTTGCCTCCAAAATGAAACGTCGAGAGCTAAAATGCTCCAAAAAAGAATATGGGTCAAAATGACTATTTTGGTAAATATTTGAGGATAATTTTGGTATTATGCCAAAAATAAAAAAGAAAAGTAAAATTCTAATAAACGAGTTGATAAATAAGTTTATAAATGAGCCAATAAACTTACTTTTAAACAAGCTTATTCTTGAACATAAACGAACCGAATTCACTTTTGTTCGTGTTTATTCATTTATTAAATAAACATGAAAATTTTATTTATATTCGTTTATTTAGGAACATACACGAACATTATTAGTAGTTCATCAAACACTCTGTTCATTTACATCTCATCACTCCAAGTTTATTTATTCATTTGAATATGTGTTGATAGGTATTTGATGGTGGCAAACATAGCAGCAAGCGCATACGCAGCAATTTCGACGCTCATCGTGTTAGCAACCAGAACCGCTGATATAGGGTTTGCCCAAACCATCATCATCTTCGATGTGACCGTCGTCGGGTTGTTGTTTTCGGCCAATGGGGCTGCCTTGGCCGTCGGTATCATCGGCTACAAAGGGAACTCTCATCTTCAATGGAACAAAGTCTGCAATGTTTTCGACAATTTCTGCGACAGAATCGCCATTTCCATTGTTATGTCTTTGGTCGCTTCCTTTGCTTTCATTGGTTTGGTTGCATTGGCTGTTCTGTCTTTGCAGAAGAGATTTGCACCTAGAAGTTAAAAAATAATGGTATTATTGTTTGATGTTTTATTATGTAAAGAAAATAAAATTGCGGGAGGAAAAAATTAAAGAAAAGTTTGTACGAATTGTTATTTATTTAATATAAAAAAATATATAATAAGTAAGTTATTGTCTAGTTCAAATAAATTATAAGTCTATTTTGTAATTTTTAACAATTAAAAGACTTAAAAATTAATTTATTATAATCGGGATCATATTTATACACTGTATCCTAAAAATGTCTTTTTTCTTTTTTAGTAATTTACTTCATTTATCTTTGTCATTTGATTGAGCTCTACGACAAATTGACAATGACATGTTAAGTATGTCATTAAGATGTAATTATTGTCAGCATATTGGACGATTCAAAGGAATTTTTCTATTAAGTAATTTTGTCATTTTGAGGGTTATTTAGTAAAGTTCACATCATGTAATCATATACAATTTATTAATTATTAAAAAGTCTATTATTCAGTTGGAACTTATTACTCAGCTGTCAAATACGGGAGATAATAATAAAACGATTGAATTGATCCGTGAGTTGTTGGAGAAGAATTGGAAGATGAAAATAAATCATGTTCATCATGAGGGAAATAAAGTGGCAGACAAGCTAGCCAAATTGACTAGGAGACGTTCGTTAGGAGTAGAAATTTATCAGATTCCTCCTAGGAAGGTGGCTGATTTAATTCATCAAGACAGGTCTCCATGGATTAGTCTTGTTTCTTTTCTGTATTACGGGGGAAAACAATTATATCAATTATTAAGCAATTTCGTCATTTTGAGGGTTACTTAAAAACCCTTTTTTCTATTTTGGTCGATACAGTACATGTAGATATTTGTGGGCTAAAATTATCCATTTAATTTAAATTAAACAAATTTTGGAATATAATGTTCTAGTATTTAGGGGATTAATTCGATTTAAATTATTGTTTAATCAATAAGCATTTTAAACATAATAATAAATATTTTTTGAAATTTAAATTGTGAATATAAATAATTACTAAAACAAATAAAAAGATATATGTTCATCAAAAACTAAAAAAAATTAAAAGATCAATGAAGTCTTCATTTAATATAAATGAAATCTGGTTTAACTAAAATTATTTATCGAGTTAAAAAATCATATATCAATCTAATAAAAACTTCATATAATTTATGATATTAGTTTGTATTCATGTTAAATCTTTTTTGTAAGCATACTAAATTATCAATTATTTTTAATATGACAGTCTTTAATATAATTTAGTCAGTTTTGAAAGTGTACTTGTGAAGAGTTCCTTTCTTGTACACAATTCCAATGAAGAAAAAACATGTCATAGAATTGTGTGCACAGTTTTGCAGTGCCAACTGCCAATTGAACCGGATCTTCGAGAAATTGAGATGCACACAAAAACTTAAACTTTTACTTCTCTCAACATCCTTTTCCTTTTGTTTTCATCATCAGACCTGCTTAGCTCAGGGGTTGCACGAGTGAGAATGATTTCTCATGATTCTTTTCAACTTTTATATCTATTTTAATATTTATGCTCGAGGTTCGTAATTAACTCAAGTAAATTAAATTTTTATAATATATAGATGTATTTCTGACCGAACTCAAAGCTTAACTAAATTAGTTTTTTTTTGCAGGTCTTTTGGGTAGATATTTACATAAAATTCATTCCTAAATCAAAACCTACATTATGTTCATTTTCGGTGGTTTTTTTACATTGTTTGAATGGAAGAATTATTAACACTTGGATGACCCGTGGTACCAGTCCAGGAAAAACCATGAACTGATAAAATTAAGCACGAGCTTTACCTTCCCCTTCAGTTGACCGGTTGTTGACACGCGTGGCCGGAGCTCTGGACAAAATGAAATTTCCTTTTAGATCTGTTTTGCCATACTCCGAAACCTGAGGATCCATCACGATTCTGCATGATCTCCATTCTTGGCACATTAAATCGACACCGTAATAACTCAAATGGTCCACGATGCTGTTACCTGACACTGACCTGCAGTAGTGCAGTGATATCTCTAATTAGTCGTGCTAAGTTCTCAGTTAGCAAACGAGTGATACATTCATGCCACTATTTTCCTTACTAGGACTTGAGTGTGATTATCGTAGGCGTCTAACGCGGGTATGTTCAATATTTTCTTTAAGTTCACGTGTTCAAAGGTCCATATCCAAAATACACGTTCAAAATGTGCGTTTCAAGAAAAATGAAGATACAGAGCAGCATAGAGTTACCTACATAAATTTCCACCACAATCAAAGCCAGCATACCAAAATAGGCTTACCTACTACAGGTTGGATCTTCACCAGAATTATCACAGACCTTCTCAACTCTATAAACCAGACTTCCCAATCCAAGGTTATACAGCCACACCTACAAATAAGGAAATAAATTAACGACCTTATCCATAATGTTCTTTTTTAGTCAGGCTGCAGTCTTACATGCATCAGATATGAATCCTCGATCAACACATCTCCAATGTAGAAACACTAGTCGTTTTCAAGTGTTAAACAACAGACCACAACTGCATCCTGACATTTAAGGACGTTAAATGCCGTGCAGACTCAGAAGGAAAACACCTTGTTTATATGTTATATTCAATGTAATGCTATAACTAATAAGGAGCTTCATTCCTGAGCCATTAGGAACGTGCTACACTTCTTGATACTGACATTCACTGTTATTGTTACTTGGGAATTGAGACAACAGATTGATATGAGCAACAATGCGGGCTTCCGCAAGAGTAGAAAAAGTTTTTATACTGAAAGTTACATAACACCCAATTTTCTATAATCAAGAACCAATAATTGATAATAATCAAATTAGTAAAGTGTTAAGCCTATGTTTACATTATATTGCCAAGTAATACCAGAAATCATAGAGAATTAATTTCAACAATCACGGATACTTACCTCTCTAGGGAAGTGATGGTATGTTTTTTGAGGGAAATAAGTATAGTATGGTGGCAGATGAGGCACAATATCATGGTCATTTGTCACTAATAGTATTCGGCACAAGCTTGGCATAATAAGAAGCAAAGGCAGCATTCCCTATACGTGGTTGTCCAAATGTCATAACTTGAACGTTATTGGCTTCATGATTAACCTGGGAATAAAGAAAATTTTCTCATTACAACTCCGACAAAGCAACCAGCAAAGCTCCCATAATTTATGGCAGGAAAATTAACTCAAAAAGGATTTGAAAACGCCATGGTACATAATAAAAAACAATGTTGCAGTATAGACGGTTTCACAGTTACAGCACAATGAAAACAACAATAATATATTTCCAGCTGAAGCAAGAAAGGCTCAAGATTACCGTTAGATCAAGTGCACAAAAGGAAGCCATAGCCCCTCCCATTGAATGACCTGTCACCATGATGTCAAGCTCCCCATAAAACTCTCTTGCTTCTTTAACTGCATGGAATTCCATTACGTATGGTTGTGTTATGATAAGCAGTATAAAATCCATGGTGCACCTGAAATAGCAAAAAAATACAACATTAATTACAATCACTCCGGCCTAAATTCAAAATCAGGAGGAATTTGTTTTGCATACCATAGCATCAGGCATGCCAGGGTAATTTAAATCAAGCTGTTTCCAGAACAAGTCTTCAATCCAATTCTGTATGCTGCAAACAGACAGATAAACCAATCAAACAAAAAACAGTAAACATAATCAAAAGGAAAAAAGACTATCAGCCTCTGCATAATTCAAAATTTGTTTATCATTTAGATTTTGATGCCATGAATGCCTATTCTTTTGAAAACATTAGTTGAACAAAGTACAGAGGCAAATATTAGTACCTGTGTTCTTGCGTTCCTCTAAAGGCAATAACAACGGCATTAAGATCCTTTGCCACTCCGACAAATGCCTATCAATTATTTGTCAATTTAATGTCAAACACAAACAAAAGTATTCTTAAGTTTAACACCTAAACGGGTCATAATTTCAATTAATATCAAAGCACACAAAGAGATGCACCTGTAAACAGTTCTCAACATCAACAACTAGCTCGATAACTTCAAATCCCTGTTCCCATATCAAGGAGCATCAGGGGAACCCATTCGACAAAAAACCTACTTAGACACTCAATATTAAAGAAAAACAAGTACCTTGGTCAAACCATTACATCGTTCACATGTCCAAATAAAAAGTTCCGTCAAATCTGAAATGTACACCTACGGGAACAGATTGTAAGAAAGTAAAAACACTAAGGAATACAAACCAATGTAGTGAAGCGAACAGAAACTCTTATAAAAACGTCTTAGGCAACAACATTGAACTCATTCACCTATCTACTCCAAGAATAAACTAAAATTTCCTTAACAATTATTTAAACCTTTAAGCTCAAGTACATAATAACAACTTTACCGCGGAAGCATATTCTACTAAAATGGTCGCAAGAGTATGATTGTAGATGGCGTGTTTATGGTTGTTTTTGACCTGCAATTCTGCAGTAAACGGAAGCAAATTCCTTAATAAACTAAACTTTAACATCTCACAAGCTACAAAAATCAATTAAAATTGAAGTTATTGAGCTTATTTCAAACATTTATTTGCATAAATCAGGAATAATTTACTAAAATTATAACAAAAAGACCTAATCCAAAAAAAAAAGAAATTAAACGATTTGAATTTAACAAGTACCTCTACCGCTAGAAGATGCAATTAAACATGTAAAAAACACCAAAACTAGCCACGTTTTTCGCTCCATTATCTGAAAATCAAACAAAACAAACATATTACGAATGTAAAGAAAAACGAAAAAGAATAATCAAAATCAAAACAAAGCAAAGCAAAGCGATGTTATAAGAAACGGACCTTGCGAACGGAGGATTCTGGAGCTCCGGTTAAGACGGTCTCGCAGCGTATTAACGACGACTGTACCGCTCCGATTGGGCTTCAGCGACGTCGTTTCGGAGGGAGTCAATGTCTCATATGATTGAGAAGAGAGGATAGAGAAGGCAGAGAGAAGACACTAGAAGACCAAAAAAAAAATATTCATTTATATTGTTTTATTTAAATATAGAAAATATCTTAATTA